ACGTTTTGCGAATAAGCGACAAAGAGAATGGAAACAAGTGCGCGTGTATTAGTCGCTACATTGAGAAGCATCGCATCAGGCTACTCACTACCACACGCGCACTTGTTTCCATTCTCTTTGTCGCTTATTCGCAAAACGTATGCCCACACTTACTACGGTGTCACATTTAGAAGCTAAGTGTGGAGTCGCGCTTGGGTAAAACTCTCATTCAATTTGGTGCAAATAAAAAACCATATTAGTTACCATGAGATGCCACTCCATCTTGCAGCTTCTGAGGGTAAATAGATCACACATCTCCATTAAAGGTTCACTATTTTTCATTGGAATTTTTTTTCTTCACAAAATCTTTCCAGGACATGAGAATGTAGTTCGGATTTTTATTGAGCTTGGTGCAAAAATTAATGCTGAGGGCAGATCCACACAGACACGACTTCATTTCGCAGCTGCTTCGGGTAAATCATTTGCACATATCCATAAAAAATCTTCCTATTCTTATTGTTGTTTCTCTCATCATCTTTTCAGGCCATGACAAGATAGTTTATGATCTTATTGAAAATGATGCAAAATTGGAAGCTGAAGACGCCTATAAACAAATACCACTTCATCTGGCAGCCAAAAATGGTAAATCCTATGCAGGTCTCCGTAAAAAAATCTTTCAATCCCTATTCTCTCATTATTTTTCCAGCCTGTGTGAATACGATTGAAACTCTTATTGAACTTGGTGCAAAAGTGAACGTTCTAAACACATATGAACAAACACCTCGTGATTTAGCCGTATTTTGGTCTGGGAGCCCACAAAATTGTGCGGGATCTTATTCATTCTTCGGAAGTGAAAGCATTGCCTGGAATCCTGAAGGAAGCTGAAGACAAACTAAACGTGTGAACGGCGGGCAATGCATGATGGTGTTATGTTGCAAAATTAAGCTTGTATTGCTCTTTAGCTTTGAATGTCCAATGCAAGAGCTTACGAATCAATTTTTCAATTCAATCAATTAAAAAGTGCGGTTTGCATGGTGCATTAAATAATATCGTGTTTTTATTAGAAATCATGACCAGCGCAGCGCGTACGAGTTATAGTTTCAGTATCACACAGTGTTGCCATAATAAACTATTCTCATGTGTTCCAGCATAAGAGATGCTTAGAAAATATTGGTTGTTTCTTTAATTTTCTTGCAAAAACCAACATAAATGTAGTCCTAAAACAATTTTTAGGGTCTATCAAGTTGTGAGCGTCTTTCATGATCAATTTGCATTTTTAAACTTCATTTTTTCTATGAAGATTTTATTATAAATTTTTTTAAACCCCCTATTTCTCTCGTGTATATTTTGTTTTCAGTTTAATTTTTTTCCTAGAACAAACCGTTGTGACTGTATAAAAAAAACTTTCTGGAGCAACAGGAACAAATTTTTGAGAGAAAGAGAAATTCACCGGTCAACTCAAATTTCAAATTTTGTACTATGCAACTAAAGAAGTTGATAAAATATACAAAAAATTGCCCTGTATTTTTCAAATACTCCCAAATTGGATATTCTAATAAGAATACCGTTTTTTCATATCCATCGTATTTGAGCAACACATAATATTTAATTCCACATCTATCTTGTAATTAAACCGAAAATGAAAATAATGCTGTTCAAACCAGTTTTTCCGACGTTCACCTTTTGCTAAAGTTGATTCGGTTAAATTGAGTAATTCCCTTGATTTTCATAAGAAAAACGTTCCTATTTAAAAAGAAAATTATTACCAATTCAACACATTTAGTCAAACAGTATTAAAAGGCCTATAACACAGTGCATAGTGTAGCGGCGCCATCTCGTGTATACGCTTATCACTAGGGCTTGGCGTTGATTGTATTGCATTGGTAGTAGTGCTGTAATATGGTGCGGTATTCTCTGTCAAAAAAGATGTTTACTAGGTGAAAAGTCGAAGAACGGATAATAATCGGAATCAATATTGTGGCGAACATTAAGCAAAAACCGAATAAACAAATCGTGTATTTCGTTCAATAGTCATTGGAAAAACAATAGAAGAATGTCAAAAAGACGTGGTGAGTAATTAGATGCCAGTGACAAAAGAAATGTGATTTTATTTTAATGTTTTGTCGAATTTATTGGATAGCAACCGAAGTCGTTGTGGCTCGTGGCCGTTTAAAGGGAGCATTACAAGATATAGCAAATGTGAATGACGATGATGATGATTTGGACTCGAAACCGAGTCGTGGTCGACCGCCGAAGCGTGCAAAGAAAGAGCCAACACCACCGCCTCAGCCAACGGTCCAACACAGTTTCATCATGAAATTGTTTGATCGCTGCGTTGACCTCGCCAAATACAATGAAAACACGGCATTGTATCCGATATGCCGGGCGTGGATGCTCAATCAACCACGATCCAATCAAATTATCAAGTAAGTACAACGAAGAAAAATCACAATAATTCCACTTTTACTCACTGCTCGGCCTATTTTGCAGCTACAAAGCGAGAAAAGAGATTCCAATTGTGAAACGTGAACAGAATGATGATCTGTTGGATGACATCAAAGCAGACCGTGTGACTGAAGTCACCGATTTGCCACCATGCAAAAAAGTCGATGTTTCACGAATACCGCCACCATTGCCGTTCCAGAAAAACGCCAACAGCACGGCCAATGTGGATAAAGTGAGTTTGAGCGATTTTTTTCTAAAAATTAAATGTCAATTGAGAAACTAAATTTCACATACACTAAGTGTCTCTGAATCGTATGTTTTGAATCAGAACTTGAACTAGAATCATTTATGTCCTAATCTCTTTTGATTTATTGAAAAGAAATGAGTTAAAAATCATTCAAAACTCCATTTTCTCCACAGGGATTTGACGGTCCAAAACTCGATCGTGAGGAGCTGTTGTCATCGTGGAAAGATCGATGGGTGGAAGTGCGCAAAAAATGGATGGACCACACAAAAGAATACGAAGACAAGAAGCACGGCGTCAATATGGCCATTCTAGAGACGCTGTACAAGAAATAAAAGCGGCTTTGATTTTCCCTTATTCAAGTCATCGCAATCGGATGATGTAGATTTTATTGCCAATTTTAATTTAATCAATCGAAAATGTAATTTGAACATGTGACGAGTGTATTTGCGAATATAAATTCGATATATTTCTATTTGGGTGTTCTCTCTTTATCTCCTTCAGCAAAATGAAAATCGATTTCGATTTTTCAATTTACCTCAATTGATTTTCATTTTGGTGTATTTAGTTTCTCTATGTACAACCGATTTTTATTTTTGTTCTTTGCGATTTTTCTCTACTTCAAAATGAATGTCGACGAAACGGAAAGATGAAACGTACAAAAGAATATAGATTTTTTTTTATATAAATTAATAAAAACTGAACAGAGTACATTTTACATAACTTATGAGCTATTTGTTGTTTTTTATTCGTTGCATTGTGTTTGATTCCATTCGGTAAGAAAAAATCTATAAGATTCCTGGAATGATAGCGCGTCGTTCTTTTGGATAATTTTTGAACGTTCCCAAGTACCATTTGTGTGTAAGCCAAGCATTTTCAATTTGATTGCTAACCACCCATAAGAAGACCCAGATCCATGAGATGTTTGGCAACAAGATGACGGTCAATGCTGTGTACATAACGATCTCCCAGAACATATGCGGCGATGAGACAAAATCAAAGAAACCACCCTGTGGCATCAAATGCTTTTCAGTTACAACGGCACCTGTGACAAACGAATTTGTATCATTAGCGAATAGTACAACATGAATATTATTTTGGAATAGGCTTAGAAATCTCTGAAAAATGCTTATAACTAAAATTACGAATAATCTTCTTTTTTCAAGCCAAAAACTCCTAGCCTATTGTTCTCAATCTTAATGAAGAAGAAAAAGAAAAATTGCAAAATATCCCGCAAAAAAGTTACCTGAGCGATTTTTACGTAGGTTGGCGAGCATCAAATTGGCGCGTAGCTGTTGGAACCATCCCAAGAAGAATAACGTCATCATGGACAAGTGTCTTGGTAGAATCATATCGAACTGAATGTATGTAACGTCTTCTGGGTTTGCATTGTGTACGAATCCCGGTGCACGGCTGATGATAGCAAGGAATGCGCCAAAGTAATGCAAATAACCGACCAAATAGTGTGTAAAGTTGATTTTGGCTTGTTTTGAAAAGACTTGAATGTACTGTGTTTCATAGAAGCGCCGAGCACATTGCAATGTGAGTAAAAATGTTGCCTGGAGTGCGGTGAATGCAGACACTGTGTGGAGTGGGCAAAAAAAAGGTAAACACAAAAGAAAAATCAATTTCGAAATTCGTTGAAATTCGCTGTTATCAATGAATGTTGTACGTTACTTACTGGTTACGCTACGATCTTTGCCGTACAAAAAGTCTAGCGCATCGATAATAAATGCAGGCACAGTGGTGCCCAGCACATACAAGTTAAATGTTAGTCCAAATATTAGAATAGCCCACACAATGGCAAACACATAGAAATGTTTGAAATATGATTTCGGCACCTCGAACGCTTGCACCACGCGTGACGGTTCACCTTTGTATGCATGCTTACCGTAGCGGAATGTTTGCAATAGCACCGGCGATATGTTGCTTTCGCTGATATTTATGCCAATGGCAAACACAACGATTGTGAATGTGAAATAAATAAATATCAAGTCGATCCAACTGATCCAGCTGAACATGATTGGTTTCGGTGTTTTAACGAATGAACAAAGAAAAAAACACAAATCTTCAAAAATCACAGCGTTTGTGAATGAAACACACCCGTGACTGAATGGTGTGTTGACGACAATGTTCCGGAATGCACTGTTGTCCGACTATGATGATCGATCAATCGTTGCGTGTCTCTGTCTATGGAACAAAAAGTCAAATAGTAAATAATTGATTAGTGTTTATTGCTTGACTAGTCACTTTTTTTGGTTAATGTCTAATTGTAATTTATTGCCGGCAATTTCTGTGTTACTGCTGCCGTCTATGTGCCATCACATGAAATTAACCGATTTGCATTTGTCGACACTTAGACACACACACATACACGTATGCATTTTATCAACTATTTCAAGTTCAAATGATAACACATACACACACACAGCCTATGAATGGACAACAAATTTCTCTTGACTATCACAACCGAAATTTTATTCCCACAGTTAATCGACGAGATGACGACGAATTATGTTTCAGTTTTGTTTTGGACTCTGTTCATCACTACATTGTGCCTTTCCAATTCAAACACGCTTGTTTATCTGTTTCTTTCTAATGCGCTACTCGCTTTGTGTGCTGTGCTGTGTGTTTTGTTTGCTTGGTGACTGGCTCCGAAAAAGCGATTAAGACCTAATTTATGTTTTTGCAGAGACACATCTCACCCAAAAACCAACCGACGACTAGACTGCTTTTGTTTTACACGCACCAATCAGCTTTTCCTAACTCATTTGATATTATGCATAAAATCAAATACGACTACGGCTATGGCTCTTTTTCATGCTTGCCACTTTCTTTGACCTCATTTTATCACAGAGATGAGAAATTCTATGTGTGCGATTCGATTCGTTTGTTCGTTTCATTTCTCTACCATTCGGTTAACCGTACGGTATTGCACTAGTGCATGCGATTGTGTGCGCGCGCTCATTCACTAGTTTGTTGCGGCTGTGTTTTTTTTTTATTGCTTTCATTCATAAAATACGCATCACGTTCAATCGGTCAAAATCACTACACTCTCTTATTGCTGCTGTTTTTAATTACCTGCTTCTTTTTTGATATGCTCACGAGAGTAGATATGCTTTAGTTTTCATTCCAAATTTAATTCAATTATTTCCGTTGGTTTGGAATTTTTCCTGTGCAATTCAATGTTTCGATAGAATGATTTTTTGAATTGGAATATCGTTTTTTTAACTGATTTGAGAAAAAATTGGCTCAAATAGAGAAATTGTCTTGATTTTTATTTATTTTTAGATGTTCCAAAATGTTTAAAAATGTTCAATTCTACCGGAAAAAAGGAAATTTTTAATTTTTTTCAAAAGTGTCTGAAAAAAAAGTTAAGAAAATTGATTTTAAAAGGAAAACATTGAATTGAAACAATTGCAATATGAAAAAGTATGGCAAACACTATTGAATTCGAATTTCGATCGAAGACTTGAAGACAATTTTGCGTACTGATTAATGATACGTGACCAGAGTTAGCTTTTTATCCGATTTTCGAACTGATTTATTGGTTCAAACACATTAGATTGATGTTGATTTAAATTCTTGTTCTGATTTTCTGTGATTGATTTTCCCACAGTTCTGTGATTTAGTTGAATGTTTTATCTATTTTGTTTTTTTCATTATTTCATTTCATTCAAGTTGAATGTACCAGAAAAAAAAGAACACAACGAATTTTGATCGAATTATGTCGCTGACTTTTTCTTCTGAATAAATTAGACGATACGCTCAATTGGTCACGTAGAAGAAATTGGCAGAAAAGAATCATGTTTGACCAAAATACGAATTGAGACAAATTCCAGAGAAAAAAATCAATAAAATACATAATCATTTGGCTTATCTGATTCTCGCATCATTTGCTGCGATAACACAAAATTGCGTACCGCCGTCTCTTGTTCCTCTTCTGTTCTAACAATTGTTCTTTGTCGTATTCTTTGTTGCTAACATTTTATTCCTTTTTCTTTCTTTTTCTAAACTGAGGCTCACCCGTGTGAAAAAAATAGTAACTGAGCAGTCAGTTAACTAATTTTGGGCAAAAATGACTTACTTTGATTGACATTTCAGTACAAAGTGTAGTGTAAGTCTATCATAGTTAATTGATATCATTTAAAGTTACAAGCCAATCTAAGTTGCTTCATTTGGGACCAAGTGATTTTCTTAGAACAAAAACATAAATTCAATCAGTCAAAAGTCAACTGAAGTTATAGTCAGTCAGTCATTTTTTTTTTCACACGGGCATGCCAAGTTCGAATTCATCTTGGCTAGGGGCTAGGAACAAGTTGTGAGATTCACATAGATTCGCATATATTCATGCGTTCGTGGCTTTATTATTGTTGTTGTACACTCACTGCGCTGCGAATGTCCCGTATACACAATCACACGAATTCACAAATATTCGTACGGATTCGTCTCAAGCGCTTGTGTTATTACCCCCTAGCATCTTGGTATTTCGATTCAAACTGTACATTTCACATTTAATATTTCCATTCAAACTGTAAACGATTAAAACTTTTAACTGCTTAAAATGTCAACGGCCACTTTTTCGAATAAAATAATTTATCAAATGAAAAAAAATTCTAACACGATTTCAAAATGAAAAAAAATCACAAAAAAGTCCCATGAATTGTCATGACTTTTGTTAACTGTAACGAATAAATAGCTTTGAATAATTACTCCTTGAATTTTTTTTGAATATTTTTTCTGTTAATTATGCCTATAATGTTTCTATTTATTTCACTGAAAAAAAAATTTACTCACCAGAAAACAGTGAGTGCAGCAATAAACGAAACCAAATTATGCAATGAAATCAAAAGTGAATATAGAAATAACAAATGATAAAGTGCATATCAAACAAATAAATTACCGAAGAGTTGAGTATTTGTTCGTGAGTGGCTTAAATCCGAATGAGATACAGTTGCTAGAGAGCGAATTGTGGTTAACGTGTTGAATGTGTTGTCCAAACTGATCAAAATTGAAAAGGTATGATGATTGCCTAGCGACAAATTTAGACGAATACATTAAAACATAATGGCCAAAATAACAACAACCCGACAGAGATAGAGAGAGAAAAGAAACAGAGAAGAGACGAGAAAAAAAACACAACAACTGAATGAGGAATCTCTTTGGTTGTCGTTGTTACATTCATCAGTAGCGCTAATAATATTATAGAGAGGAAAAAAAAAGAAGGTAATCGGCAAACAGAGAGCAAATCGCTTGACATGAGTAAAAGTAGCAAATGGTTGAGTGAAAGAAATGCGAAAAAAATTAGACCGAGCAGCAAATGCGAAAGAGACAACCGAAAAATACAAACGATTTCATCCGGAGTTAGGAAATGATTTCGGTTTCTATTGGATTGTTGTTTGTAATTTGCATGAATTTTTGGGCATGGGCCAGTGTGTTAGCCAGATTACATTCCAGTTGTGAACAACAACAACAAAAACAAAAGATATGGTGATACATATACGATGTGGGCCGACGAATAATTTTTTTTTCTTTCCGTTTCACCCGTAATTCATATTTTGTTAAAAACGAAACAGAAATTTCGATGATTTTTTACATCTTTCGATGCAAATGGCGAAACTGGATTTTTTTTTGGCCATATCATCTATAAATCGTAACTTTTTATTTGTATCTCATTGCAGACGCTTCGAAAACCAGATTTCCGTTCAGGCGTCGCATGAACAACATTAAGAACAACACGTATACCCGTATCTCATTAGAGAATACTGGTAATAATCATTTCTAGTCGATTGAAATAAATTACGCGCAAAATAATCGAAACAACGTTCTAACTGGATATTAAAGAACGATACTACGCAGGGCATAGACGAAGGAGAAAAAAAACGATGATGAAACAAGATTTGATGAAGTACAAATTTCGCAACGGGTCCAATGAGACGAATATTTGAAATAAATATACAAATCCCGTTCAGAATGTAAATGCAATTTTGCTCACGAGCAAACGATGTGTTTATATTGGATATTCTCATCGCATGGCAGCGAAGCACAACAACAAAATTGTTGGCCGAAAATTAATTCAAAAGTCTCCATTCGAAAAATCCTATTTACAAAACGGACAATCATTCCCGCTTACACTACCACAAGCAACTTGAACATGTTCCGGTATAACGTGCTCTCGTCTAAATATATGGACTTCATCTAAAGTTAAAGCAAATGAATATGTGTATGTAATCGAAGTGGAAGTGGTGCATTGGTTTCATACATTTTGTGTTCGGTCGTTGTTTGAGTACATTCCATAATATTGACACCAGGATATAATGAGAATTTCTCATTGAGATATGGACAAATCGGTCAAAATATGCCTGGCAGCAACTAAAAAGTCATTAAGACTATGCGCTAAAGTGCTGTCAAACGGCAAACATCGAGCAATGGACTTTCATTAAAAAAAAAAAGAAAAAGAAATCAAGCACTCAAAACACACAATTCTGACAGAATGATGCGCTGTGATAGCGTTTGCTGTGTATGTATGTGCTCCATCCCAAAGTGGATGCTGCTTATGGTGTAGTTGTGTGCGTATGACACTGTAAGGGATGGATATCTCAAGTGAATGGAAAACTTTACATCTCACCGCACGCAAAAGCTCTACGACCCCTCATTCATTTTCTTTTTCTCAATTTGTATTTGCGTTAAGCGATTGTGTACATCCCGAGAAAATTCATTGTGAACTTGTGCTTTCCGCACATACAACACAAAAAAAAACAACAACAAAAAATCAAACTGAACTAAAAGTGGAAGTTTCATTTCAGTTCAGTTCAAGAGAGGATAGTAAAAAAAAGGTGATTGGAGAGCGACAGCGGAAATTTTCAAGTGTACTTTTTCGATGCGTATATGTGTGTATCTGTGTGTATGTGCGCGCGTGAAATTGTGAATAGCAAAAACACTCGTGCTTGGTCATCATTATCGTCATAACGTATCTAATTCAGCATCATTTTCACTCGCCTGTCACACAAGCATACCGAAAATATACATTTTCTATACTTTCCACTTTTCTCTTCATTTGCACCATTAATTTTCTTTCGGCGACACTTTTTTGTTCTCCTTTTCTTCGAGTGTTTTTCTTTCCGATTTTGGTTCTCAATCTTCTTGCAATTCATCGTATCTTCCTTCTGAAAATCACGCTTTCTTCGCAATTTTTCACGCGGTGGGCTTTTTTATTCGGTTTATTTTCGAACGGCATTCTCTTGTGGAAAAACACGAGCGACTGTATCGCATTGCGCCCAAACAATTAAAAAGATAATAAGGTACAAAAAAGAAGAGTAAGAAACAATAACCCACGACACGAACATGAATCGAAACGTTTAAACCAAAACCGTTCAGTTCGTATCGCATCCGACATTTTCTAAATCACCCAAGACTGATTTCGTAAGAAAAAAAACAGTTTTTCCCGCACCGCGAATACAAAGCGGTGATTCACTAGTCATAAGCTATACAAAACAAAAACAAACAATTACTACTAAAATCGAATTTAAATGGAGCGTAATATATCAGCCGAAGAAGCAACCATTCTATCCTGTGAACGACCAAAGGTAAGAATTTATATACAGTAAGAAATAAACTGAAGGTGAATTAATTTCGATGTGATTCGATATTGCTGTTTACTAAATTTGATGTTTTGTTGGTTCGATGTCACACAGCATGGGGCACATCTGATCGATTCGTATTATGATTGTCCAACGTGCGCTTATTGGCTTGCCGAAGCAGTGTCCCAGTGTAATGAGAAAACGTGCCGGAAATGCATCTCACCATTTCGCAATGAGTAAGTGATTTCTAATTTACGTAGGTGACTAGATATTTCAATTTTTGTACAAAATTTTTACCATGCTATTAAATGACCGTTCGCTTACATTTGATTCATTTCTTATTGAACTCACAAGAAAATTGAAAATGTGAACATTTTCACAATTAATCTTAGAACAAAATACACGAGAAACAGAAACCAATCATACTAATTGAATTTCCATTGCAAACAGGCAATCAATTCCATACTCGCCGGTGAACAGTGAGCAGAAATCACTGAATAACGGTGGCGGCAGCGATATACGATCGGGACGCGAAAGCTATGATGTGTTGAAATGTTGTGACAATATCAAAACAACAACCGAATCAAATTCACCACTGAATCGATGCATGGTCCGGTATCGAGACGATGACTACATCGATTGTAAGTTTTCATCATGCGGTTGCAACTTTCGCACCACCGACTTGAATCAGATCAACATTCACAATGACGAAAATGTTCACCGTCATATGAACGTAAGGGGAATTTGTATTTTTTTGGGATTCGTTTTTGATTTTTTCTTGTGATTTTCTACACTGTTTTTTGATATCAAAAGTTTCACATTATTCAAATTTTCCATGCAAATTTGTTTTTTGTCTAATCTTGAATTTAAATTTAAATTTTTTTTGATAAATTGCCCAATATTTGTCCAACTTGCAGATGATGTTGATGCAAATCACGACCAATTCAAATGAGTTGAAAACATCGTTGCACTCATTGAACAAGAATGAGATAGAAAACCATCAAAATGGTTCGGAAGCGTGTCCATTGGAGATGAAAAAGATGCATGACCGTGTGGCATCGCTGGAGAAAGAGTTGCGCGATTACAAGTTGGATGTAAAGCGTTTAACTATGGTCATAAGTAAGATCAGTATTTCGAATTTGCGTGATCGTTTCGGTACATTGGTGTGGCAAATCGATGATTTTGAAACGAAAGTGCAAACGATGCTCACCAATCCAATGACAATGTTCTACAGTCCGGATTTCTACACCGATCCAAATGGTTATCGATTTTGTGGCCGCATCAGCATTTCTCAAAAATCAAAAGTAAAAGACACGCTCAGTTTCCATGTGCACATGATGCAATCGGAGAATGATTTTCACTTGTGTTGGCCATTCCGTGGGTGCATTCAAATCTTCATGATTCACGATGACAGCAAACAGACGCAACGCGATAAAATCATGACCAACGAAAAGAGTACCGCGTTTCAGCGGCCCAGCAGCGAGATCAGTGCACACAGCTTTGGCTTTACCGAGTATGCCAACATCAATAATATCATCAATGAGGGATTTTTAATTGATGGCAAACTCACCATTAAACTGCACATTAGCATCGTATGAAAGTATCCAACATGTGAACTCTGCTCGAATTTCGATTGAAACAAAAAACCAAAAATAACGTAGAAAAATGTCTTTTTGTATATGCTTTAGTAGTCTCTAGTTGATAGAAATGAAAGAAAACCAAAAACAAAAAAAATACTTTGAGCCATTATGCTCGAAAATTTGTAAGTCAAATTGATCGTTTTTTTAACACGTTGATGGAATCGACGTTTCTGATTTTGTTGCAGCGAAATACCGAAAAACACTCAATATTATAGATGTTGTTGTTCGGATTTTCATAAACTCTACCCGTAGCTAATAAGTAGACAAATGTGAGACATTCTGTTTCCAAAGACCGTCCGATGTGTGAAATTATTTTTTGTTTTGTTCTTTCGTTTAGGCAAATTATCCCGAGCACATGATATATTATCTATTTACATATATCAATTCCCCGTAGAAAAGCTGCCAAAGAACAATAACGCAGTTGGATGAACAATACAATTTCTAGAAATTTTACACGACAAAATAATGAACATACAAGCTATTATTAATATCCTCCCGACGCCATATTGTAAATCTGGGTGAAATTTAATTCAACACAAAATTAGTAGCAGTCTTTTTTTTTAGAACCACACGAACCAAACCAAATTCCATTAATGGAATACCTTGTTCTTGCTGTGTGTATCCATTTGAGACGTGAATAAATGTCATTGACACAGAATGTTTTTGTCGCGCCACATGCAATACGTGTTTGATTTTGAAAAATTTCCAGCTTGAATTGTCGTGCTTCATTTTTTTTTTTGAACAGTTGCAGCGATATTATTTTAAAACCCTTTCTTTAAGGTAATTAAAACTAATTGGATAATTCAACTTGCATTTTTGAGTTGACAAGAATTTTTGGGGAAAAAAATTTGGTCTAATCGATTTTTGAACGGATTTAAAGTCTGTTTTTCTGTAAAGTTTTCACAAGTCCAATTGATCAAAAATTCAAATTTTCATTTTAAAAAACTCACTCAAGTTAAAAAAAAGAAGCGGTCAGATTTTACATCTGGCACATTAAAAACGATCAAATTCAAAATTATCAGAAAAAAGTACAAAAAAGGAGACAAAAACTGAAATTTTCCCCGAAAAAAATGAAATAAAATTTGATGAAATGAATGTGAACAAAAATAAAAATCTCTCTATTCCCTTCAAAAAAGATCCCCCAATCAAAACGTTTGCAAACGTTGCTTTTGAATAATTTTCCCCTGTTAATTGTTTAGAATGAAACGAAATGTTGTTAAGTTTTTTTTCTTCTTGGTTACAATGTGTGTGTAATCAGAGATTTATTTGAAATGACTCTCAAATGCCATGTGAATGGTATGCACAAAAAAACATTAAAATTGGAGCATTGAAATTGATTTCGGTTGCTGTTCAAACATACATTGAATGTGTGTGTGAAATTCATAGATCAAACGGAGATTTCATTGAATTGTGTACACAAGTTGTGAAGATTGAAAAAAAAGTGGTTGAAATAAGCTATCCGTATTACCTAATTACTTAAAACAAATGTGTTTAATGAACGACTGGACCGAGTGGTTCGCTGCGAATGGCTTGAAAATCCAGCCGGCTATCGATTGCTTCGTCTATTTGTCCGATGATGGCAATGTTGTCACCGCGAATGATATGCAGCCCAAGAACGACTTGTTCGATTCCGTTTGCCGTTGAGAACACACGTTCGTGTGATTCGTCCAATATTACGTTAATCGTTTGATCGAATCCTTTAAGTGTGCCAACAAAATTGCGACCATCGGCTGTTATAATTGACACGGTGTTGTTGACAAACGAATCAAGAGCCGATGCCATCTTACTAAAACTGATGTTTAAAAGAAAACTTATCATTCGAAGAAAGAAGGAGAAAATAAATGTAAATTGATTACCTGCAGAAATCTCAAAAGTAATCCTCGTGCTGTGGATCAAAATTAAATCGAATTTTCGATGAGCGAGTGTGTGGAAAAAAACAAACTGCGACTTTGTTTGAGTCGTTTGAGGCTATGTACAGTTGACAGACGGTTTACATGACGATTAACCGCACGAATAGCCTTGAATAGGCCTTTTTCCGAAACGTCATCGGTGATAGTTCCATTTCATACGAATATGATATACGACAACGGAGTGGGACATACATATCCGTGTGAATTGGGTTTTTTCAATGAATTGTTTTACAGTGAGACATTGTAATCGTCGTGAAACTAGAATTTATATTACATGAATATTAGCTATTTCATTTCGATTCGAATTGAATTTGGTGCAATTTCAAAAATAAAAGTAGTATAGTTGTTGGTTTTTGTTAATTCGTCGTTGTTTTCGTGGATTTTTTTCTAACATTGAGAGAAAGAAAAATATTTTGGAGTGAAAGATAACATAACATACACATAAAAAAACAGGTAAAGCACCCAAAAAAAAATGAATGATGACTATGTGTGCGACGTTTGTTTTCATCAAAAATGCTAATCATTGAACTAACATCTCTTTCTACGCGTTAATTAAACGGCGCCACTCATTAAAATTTCAATGTTTTTCTTCCTTGATTGCAGAGAGATTATTGCATCCAATGAATTAAAATCAGCAGAAAAATGGATAGTGTCGCAAATTTTCGAAATGCAACAATTAGTGAGCCGAGAGTGTTTGGCCCTCAGCAACAAGGCATACAGACGGCATTAGGTCGAGTGCCAGTGACAAACACGAGTAGTTCAATTCAAAACAGAGCAACACAAAATATGGGTGCACCACCCGTTCCACCGAAACCCTATTCCAATACACAACAGTCTTCGATGTACGGCTCACCAATGGGCATGTATTCAAATTCATACATGGGTAGCGCATATTCACCCTACGGCATGAATCCGTATGGAATGAGTCGATATGGAATGTACGGCGGTGGCATGTATGGTGGAGGTGGAGGAATGGGTATGTATGGCAATCAAATGCGCGATCCATTGGATCCAGAAAGTCGATTCATTCAGCTGGCTGAAGAGAGCTCCCGCCCGGCATTCCAAAGTATCGAATCGTTGGTCATGGCCATCGGTAACATTGCAGCCATGCTTGATTCCACATTCTTTGCACTGACCAGCTCGTTTCGAGCGATATTGGGCGTTGCAGCCAACGTTGGCCAGCTTCGTGGCGTTTTTGCACAGTTTTGGTCCACATTCGCACTGATACGAGGTGTCACCTGGCTGTATAGAAAGTATGTTTGTCACCTTCTTCTTCACTTGACTCTCCTTCATTTTGATTTTTCTCTATTCCATTCGCTTTTGGTCAGATTATTGTATTTACTTGGCTTCAGTAAAGTGGATCCATCGACGGCACGATTCAATGAAATCTTTTCAGCAGCTGCAAAAGGTACCCAACTTCCAGGCACATCGGATGCCAGCCCACCAAAGAAAGTGTCCGCTTGGCCAATTCTCACATTCTTAAGCCTGATATTCGCCACACCGTATCTCATCATGAAATTAATCGGACAAGTCTCAACAACAGCCATTGAGGAATGTAAGTTGATCTCAACGAATTTATCAACATGTTTTTCGTTGATTTAGTACGATGCAAAAAGAAATTAGAACTAAATTTTACTGCTTTTCTTTCGATGCAATAATTTTTGATCATGTAAAATAGAAATTATTAGAAAAAAAAAAATCGGAAAATTGAAGGAAAAAATTACATTCAAAGAAAAAAGAATTGGAATACTTTCAAATTTTGTTAATCGAATGACACATATTTTTTTGGGATATTCATAACGACTGGGACCTAGAAATTTTTTTCTGTTCGATTTTAATTTGAAGAGAAAAATTCAAATGAAATTTTTCAATCAAAATTGGCTTTTCTCATTGACTTTTCCTAAATTTGTGTATTTCTTCAAATAATTTTCAAATTCAATTCTTTTTGCATCGTTTGTCCAATTTTCGATTAAAATTTGTGATAATTCGACCATTTTTTTTAAATAAATTTATTTCATTTGCTACTTTTTTGTTAGTTTTGCACTGAAAAACTAATAAATTTTCCATCTTATTGTTTTCTTTTTAGCTCGTAATCCGCAAACATGGGTGAAACCATATGCTGGTGAAGCCGTTTATAATTATAAGGCGACGAGTCCGCATGAGTTGAGCATTTATGCTGGACAATTGATTCAGTTGGCACCGCGTGAAGTGCAGCAAACACACAAACTTCTAAATACCGGATGGGCATTGGCAACTGTTGACGATAAGACGTCTGGATTGGTGCCAATTAATTACGTTCGACGAGTAGAAGCAAAGCAATTTGCCACACCATCACAAGCAGCGGCAACGGAGTCAGAAGCCGCCATAGTAAATCAGCCAGATATAAACATTGCTGCACCTGAAATACCATGTGAACATGTGATGGAAAAAGATGCCGAACCAATTCAATCGAATTTCATCGAAACAAACCGCCAAATGTACGACAATAAATTGCCATCAAATGAAATAATCAACGAGAGTACGCACATAGACCCTGTGATACTCGATGATATTAAAGACCTTTGAATTGACGATTAAAATTTGCGGTGGCATCTATTCCAAAGCACGTTGGAATATCCAACGAACATTCCGACGATAAACAGAACAAATGTAGAATATTTTAGCATTGGGTGACAGTTAGCTAAATGGCTTAGCATTTGATGACAAAAAATAATTCATCAGCTTAATTAATTTGGTCACAAAAAATAAATTGGAATTGGATTTTATTCACACTCTCGTTCTTGTGTAGAATTAAAAAAAAATCTATTTAAATAGGAGATAGCTTTGCTTAGGAATAATGTGATTCGCAATGGATTTGGAGCAAACGGAGAAAATATACTGGCATTTTTTTATATACAAATCTTGTGATTGTTATTTTCCTTCAATTTCTGGTCGTTTTTCCTCAGCTGTTGGTGAATCAGCACGGTCTATTCATGAAAAGGTCTATTTGGAGATGACAGGTTAAAATGGAAAAGAGCCTTTACTACGTGAATGTCATCTTACAAAGGTAGAGAGGCCATTAAATTCGTTATTTCTATCCATTGGATACACTGAAAATTCGCGTCGTCCGCAAGCTGGTCTATCAAGTGGATTCTGAATATTCTAACACAGCATCTCTAATTTCAAATAATGGGTTCTAACAATGAATCTTCTTCAAGTGGTGTCGCAACGACGTCGTCATCTTTACCTCTGCCTCCGAAAAAAAGAAAGACATCAACAGATGACTCTCCAATCTCAAACTCAACTTCTGATTTGATTGATAAACTTGCCACTTTTTCTGGAGAAGTGCGCAAAACGGTTTTATCGTAAGTTATAAAAAACAAAATTACATGAGCAATTCATTTCTACCCAAGGAGCGATTGTTAACGCAAATATATCCATTACCAGCGTATGTAAACGATTGAACAGAAGCTGGTTAGCGTTCCGAATGTTCATACAGTTGGTTTACACTGAAATTTCATTCCATTTAAACGGAAAAAAAGACTAAAAACGTTACATCTTTTAACGTTAAAAATGACTAAATTGCAATCTTCTAATTCATTTCTACACATTTGATATTTTTTCAGAAAATCAAATGAGGCGAAATTAGACAAATTGATTCGATTATTGCACACGGCGGATTTTGCAACTGAAACGCTTCAAAGAATTTGGTACGATGAGAATGCGAGATTTTTATGGAAAGGTGAAATATTATTTTTTCTGTTTTGTTCTTCTTTCCAGTAGTATGATCGAAGAAGTGAAAAAAGGAGTGGAAGAAGAAGCCCCGGTCGATTTGGAATCATTTTATCAACTGGAAATGAAATCTTCACCAAAAAAACAGATGTCGGAGAGTGCCAATCGCATCGCTGCTCTTAACGTTAGCATTGGAATTTTCTTGGGTGTTGTAATTACCGAAGTTATGTAAGCCACACAATATTGTTCGATAAAATTCAATTGTCTCTACAACATTGATTTCTTTTAGTCTATGTACCAAAGCAGAAACTAAATCAATGTGTCGGGGAAAAAGATCGAGATTGGAACGTTTGTTAGAATATACCGAAGACTATTTGCAGGCGTTAAAACCTGATTCGTATGTTATGAAATGGAATATTCAATAGCTTCATTACTACAATTCTTTTACTTCCACTTTATAGAGAAAAAATTCAGGCTGCAATGAGAAAAATTGATCAAAATTACGCACCAAAGCGCTTTTGTTCAAATCTAGTGCTATCGGGCGAAGAATTGGAGACAGTTCAAATGATGCGTGAAAAACCCCAATCAAAAAAACAATTTAAAGAAATACGCGATTATTATAATAAAAAATGAAGATGACGAACCTTGATCAGAAACATATCGAACCAATCCAATCGAATTTCGTTGAAACAATTAACGAAGGTACGCAAATACCTGATGATAATAAAGACCTTTGAACTAAGGATTAACAATTCCGACAAACAAAACAAATGCAGTGACAGTGAGCCAAGTGGCTTAGCATTCAGTTGTAGCATAGGCATCAGCTTCAGTCACAAAATGAACAAAGAAATTGAAATTGGATTTTATTTACGATCTCTCGATGTAGCATTTATAGAAAAAATCATATTGTATTTAAATAGGAAATAGCTTTGCTCAGGAATAATGTAATTCGCAACGGAATCGGAAGAAATGATGAAAATATACTGACATTTTTTGTACACAAATCTTGTGATTGTTGTTTTCTTCCAATTTGTGATCATTTTTTTCTTCAGTTTCTGGTGAATCAGCTCGAAAAGCCGATTCATGAAAACGCCTATTTGGAGATGACAGGTTAAAATGGAAAAAAAGCCTCTACTACGCAAATGTCATTCCTTTTCATCAACACTGGTGCTATAGAGCACACGTTTTCAGTGTTTTGCTTCAGTAAAATTGTAGTTTGAGCCTCTGAATTTTCACAAAATCAACTCGTTTGCGATACAAATCATCAACGAATCATCAAAAATGGTAAATTTTATTCAAATTTTCTATGTTTACCTCGGCATGTGTTAGATTTATCAAATTGTTTACTCGATGGTCAGCCAACATGTGTTATCATAACCACAACAAATGTTTACCTTCCGTTCATTCGACAGTAACAATAACACGTTTAGCATCATTTTTGGTCGATTTTAGCTATTTTTATAAGTTTAAATTGAAAAATAACTAACATATTCGATCTGTTGTTCTTTCTAGCCGAAAAAGTCGAAGCGTTGTTTCATCGACAAAAAGAATGCGGTCACATTTCATCTCGTGCACCGTTCCCAACAAGATCCATTGATTGCCGATGAGACAGCACCACAGCACGTTCTTCTTGAATCCAATGCACAACCGACACAAGTGAAAAAGAATGAGGTAAGGTTTTCCCATAGGAGAGGATTTTATTTTGAAAACGAAAATTGATTCGAACCAATTCTAAAGCGCAATGCGTTATTGCCTGGTTCTTCTATTAATCAATTGAAACTTCACATTTTTGCCAAAATACATTCATTCATATTTATGTGCTTTAATTCCATTTGCTTCATTTTCAGACACCAGAGGAGCGCAAAAAGCGAAAAACCGAAGAGCAAAAGTATGGCATTTACTTCGATGATGACTATGATTACCTTCAGCATTTGCGAACGAAAGAAGAGCATAGTGATGTGCACTGGGAATATATTCCGCCGGCAAATTTGAAGAACAAACCCAATGAGGAAGGTGAATCGAAAGCAAAATCTGTGGGTTTTGCATTGCCATCGTCGGTGTTTGCTTCGGAATTCGAGGAAGATGAAGGTTTATTGCGTAAGGCAGCTTTACATGTGGGTCCGCGACCCGATTTGGATCCGGACATCGTAGCTGCACTTGATGACGACGTTGAGTTCGATAAGCCAGACGATGACATCGATGATTATTTCATGGAATTGGCTGCGGGTGGCCAAGAAGGGTGTGATGATTACGAAGAGGGTGATTTTGATGGTGATTACGATGAATATAGCGATATGGATTCAAATTTTGATGGTCAAAGCTTTGACGGAGATGAAGATGAAAATGGTGATCGCTTAGCACCGCTTCGTGGATGTCGAATGCCAAACTTCGACGATGGCGAAGAAACCAAATCCCGTTTCACCGAGTACTCAATGTCAAGCAGTGTGATTCGGCGCAACGAGCAGCTGTCATTGCTCGACGATCGCTTTGAGAAATTCTACGAAAACTATGATGATGACGAACTTGGTGCATTGGACATGGAAGAAATTGAAGGTCACGTTGAAATGTCGGACGATCTGCTGAATCAATGCATGGTTGAATTGAATCGTGATGGTAATGAATTGCCCTATGATAAAAAATGGGATGAACAACGAATCAAAAAGATGCTTGAAGAAGAATCGTCCGAAGAGGAAATGGTCGAGCTGGAAGTTAACGAAGATGAACCCGGCAAGAAATGGGACTGTGAGAGTGTGTTGACAATGAACTCAAATGCATACAATCATCCGAAATTGATCAGCGAACCACGTCGTCGCAAAGGCTCCAAAATTGTTATCAATCCGAAAACGGGGGTACCAATGAACGTGTTCAACGGCGAAAACACACAATTGACACTCAAATCAGTGGCCAAATTCAACACAGATAATATGTAAGTTGAATATGACATTGACTCTTCCGCAAACAACGTTTGTTTCCTTTTTTTTACTTTGAAAAGATCGAAATTTATTGATTGCATTCATTTTTCAATTGAAAATTAAAATAAGAATTGAAAATATTCAGAAAAAAATTGGAAAAGCTTGAAATGGTCCAGTAAAAATAGTAAAACACATGGATGAACTATAATTTTTAAGTAATTTTTTTTTACCTCTTTCCACAGAAATAATGCCTCAAAAACGGGACCCAAATCGTTATGTGATCAAAGCGTATTGTCAACCCTAAGCGTATTATCGATAAGACCAAAAGATGAAGCGCCAGAGGAGAAGCGTCAACGAAAACGTTTGTTGAAGGAATATCGAACTGAGCGTCGTATTGAGAGGAAAGCAAACCAAGACGCCTTCAAGGAGGAAAAGAAACGTCAAACTCAAATTGGCTTGAATAATAGGAACAATTTACAGGGCAACCGAATACTGTAAATCGGGCCATTTCTACCTCTCGTTCCATTTTTTAAGGCTACAATAAATTTTACTATTATTTAAAGAAAAACAAACTCTTTCATTTATCCCAGAAACAAAATTCGAATGAAATACCCATCAATAAGCAACCAAGATCCAACCGAATAGTTGAAATGACAACATTTTTTTGGTAAATTTAAACAGATGTCATCTGTCAGATGCTTTCTAGTCAAATGGAAAATTCTTATTTCTGGTCAGATGCAAAATATGGAGATGATTATTCGATAAATGATTCGAAAACCATCAAGTCGATACAGTCTTGAGAAGTGAGATGGCCAGCTGTTCGATGTAAATTTTCATAGATATTAGCATTTTCTTCGCCCAAAAATGAGTCCAAAAATCCTTCTTACAACACAAACTATGGCTACCTGGTATAGCAAGATGTGTCAATTATCTCGAATAACAACGAATTTTTCAACCAACAAATTTGCATCTGCCAATCCACTGTTTAATTTAATATGGCATTATTAGAACATTACCTGTAGATGAAATCCAGCGATACTGTCTGAAAAAATGCACCAAAAGAATAATTCAACGAAGGGAAATAAGCTCAATACAAAAAAGAGCAGACGCGAATGGTTTTTTTTTTTTTTTTTGGTTCGTTACTTTTATATTTGTTGATTTTTTGTAGTTGTTTCATCTTTATTTCAATTGTATTGTGATTTTTTGTTTTTACTTCTTTTTTTTTGTTGGTTTTATACATGCAGCTCTATAGTTATTCATAAATTTTGCATTGTTATAAGTAATATTCTAAATTAATGCGATATTTAGATTTGTTGTTGTGTTTGCGCCATATAATTCATGTCTATTATTTTGTTGTTGCTATATACCTTATTTGAACCCGTGAGCATAAAAACGAATTACAAAAAAATCCCCGATCAAAATGCAACATAGATTTGTCGGCGTAACATACCAGTGTACAATTTGTTCCGAATTGAACGAGTAACAAAAAGGTGTTTGTTTAGCTTTGTTCGGTGACGTTTTTATAAGTCATTTTTATGCGCACGGGTTCATTTAACCTACAAGTTAATTTGTTTTTATTGGTTCAGCACGTATTAAATTGTGTGTTTGTGTGTTATAAATCTGTGTTTAGTTGTTGTTGTTGCGACAGCTGTTCGGCTCGTAAAACGTCGTTTAAGTTGGTGGATTAATTATTCGTCTTTCGTCAAATGTTATTGTCAAAAAAATGAGTGAGAGCTTGATCTATTGAAAATAGAACATATTTCAAGGGAAGATTTGTAATGCATTGAGTTGTGGCTCATGGCCAGTGGCAATGCAACTTGGTTTTGCCTGTTTTATATCTCTCTCTGTGTGTGTTTTATTTTTGGAGGCTGGGGAGAATCAGTGAACGCAACAACAGTACCTGATGTGGCTATAACATCTATATGTTTCACATTTAGACCACTCTTTCTCTCTCTCTGGTTTCTTCTCACGCTCATCTAGACGTGTCTAACGTTTTGTTCATCTATCAAATGTCATCTGTGTGGTGTGTTTTTCATTCATTTCCTTTACATTCCTACGACTAAGTATCATGACATACTTCATATAAATATATACTCGTAATATTGATTTCATTTCCATACTAAAATTCTACGATGTTACACATGTTCTCTTTAGGTTTTTTTTTCGCTCCGTCGAGTGGGTTTTTCTATCGATCGTTTGCCGCTACGATCACAGCAATGCTATGCGTCGATTGTTGATTGTATGTCGGTTTGTCTATGTGTTTTTGCTACATCGCGCAACGTGGAAGTGCACACACTCGACACAAGTATATATCTCTAGCTTACGGGGACAAAAAATTTCTAGATAAATTTTCAAAGCAAATATCGTATAACAAACGTTGAGATAAGAAAAGCTACCGAAAAAAAGAAATGGAAGTGATTGATGACACATAGAAAATGTAATAAATAGTTTCTATTATTTTCTTCTTTTTTTCCTCTGACTAGGTCGTTTCATTGATCACTACGTGTGTTGTTCTTTTCTTGAGGAGAGGGAAGGGAGATGGGAATTGGTTATATTCCATTTATTTTTTTACTCTTTATTTCCTTTTCGTTTTTCTTCATTCAACACAAACATTTTTAATTCCTTCTTCTTCTTCTACTTCTTTTTTCGTCTTGCCGAATAAACAAATTCGCATTCACTTTTCGTGGCAATAATCACAATGGCTTTTATGCACGTATAAAAAAAATGAAACACTAGGTCACTAGCGTACTATTCACATACAGATTTATCTAACCGACTAAAAACTTCACAATTGATTGGTTTTTTTTCTTCTTTCATTTAATCTCTCTTCTTCTTCTTTCACTATGCGATTCTGTTCGTTTATTTCGTTTCGTTTTCTTGTTTCAAATTGCGTCGCAACACAAATCGCATTTCATGCATCGTTTCATAAGTAAAAATATCGCAATTTTCTTAAATCAAAATGGCATTTCTATTAAAAATTATTAGTGATTTTTGGATGTGTGTATGTGTGGTTTTTTTTTTATTGTTGTTGCAAAGCTTCAGAGAGGTTTGCTATTGTTTTTATTTGAGTCAAATGAGCTTAAATCACTTAAAAATCGATTTTTGTTATATATCTAAAATGTTTATTCAACGATATTATTTTTGGGGGAGAGAGGCCTTCTCCAAGAAGAGGAGTGGCTACTTCGATTGTGTGTTTTCTTCTTCGACGGAAGTTAAAAGTTGTGTTGCATTAAAAGTTGAAAGCATACCATCAAAATGGACTAGGTGTCCGTTTTGACCGAAGGATTCATTTCATTCGCCCTTTTTACTGGCCGCGGGTTGGGGGAGAGTTTATAATTTTGAATTTTCTTTCATTCCTTCATCATTAATTTTGAGATAATAATTTAAAAAAGAAAAACAAACACATTCTTTCACTTGTCTATATCCTAAAATCTATTCCGTTTTACAAATTCACTCCAATTCCAATTGTTATTCGCTTTTTTTGGTTTTTGTTCCGCTAAAAAAAAAAAAAATATGAAAAAGATCAATGCATTCAGGAGAGAATTTTTTTTTCTTCAATTTTGTCAATTAATTTCCCAAAGTTAAAAATGTTTTATCAATTTCGTTTTGTTATCACCGAATATCACCAAAAACTTAAATGTTGCATATTTTTCTCGTTATAATTCGCATCGCGCTTTGCTTTTCTTTTATTACTTCTTTCCATATCCTAATTAAATTCCATTGTTAATTACTACTCCTAAAATGTTCCTTTAGTTAATCACTGTTGAGGGCAGTTTTTGTTTTTCATTTATTTATTTTTATTCAAATGGGAAGGGCTCTAAGAAACTAACAAGCATGGCTTTTTTTTTCTTAAATTTGCCTTACGGAGATTTGATCATCACATACGACTATTTTGCATTAGAAGAGTTTTAAAGCTTTTATGCAGATTTTCCTTTTCGGCGGAGCTGAACATGTTTTGACCATTTTGACGAATTGATTTTGATGCCAGAGTGCACAGTGACAATAAATGGCAACAGTATTCAGTGCAAAACCATTAAATTTAATTATCTCAGTGGGCAAAAAATCGCATTTCAGTACGAATGTGCACTACTTTTGGTGTGGTGGTCATAATAGCAAGCCTTGATGTAAATTTTGGGTCAAAAACTAACTGCTGAGCGTTTGAAATCAAATTGTCGATTCCATTAAGGTTGCCCTGTCTTCTTAGGGTAATCTTTAGTAATGATTGACATCCAATTGAAATGAATTGATCGCTGACATTTTTTCTTAAATCTTGTCAATATGGCTATGGTCGCGTTTCGCATTCTGAAAATAGGTAGACTTCCTATCATAAACGTTGAACTTAGAATGGGCGGAACCGGTCTCCTTTCAAAACTTTTTTTTTTCTTAATTTGCTGAGAGTGTTCTAGTCCTAACTTGGCATTGAGTTACGTTATCGATAAAAGACTGGGAAATTAAAAAGATTGTCAAATGTGAAGACAACTTAGAAACGTGTTGAATCGAGCGACAAAAATACTTTGCAAACTATTTTGTCATTCAAGCAATCTAATAAAGTGAAATTTGATACTGAAGACGCAAACAACTTTCTTTTGAAAACGTTTTGTTGTTTACGTGCGGAATTGTAAATAATCACTACAATTTTTCCATTGCACATCCTATGACAGCCAACGGGATAAGTGCAAGGCTCGCACTGTGAAAACAGTTGAAATTTCGTCGTCTTTTCAATGTTACGATTCTATTTTGTTCCAAATCAACTCAACCATCCGCCTCAATTTAACACAATCAATTTGTTGCATTTTCTTTGTCAAACATCAAAACATTTTAAACATGAAATGGAAATCTGCGTAAGAAATGAATATGGCACATTTAAAATGATCCTCTAGGATAAATGTGAATCCTGTTTAATACAAGCCTTCTATGTACAAATGAAAACAAATCCAAATATACATATTGTTTAACTATTTCGATGAAAAAAACGTGAGATTTGAGCTGACATTTAAAAAACATTTACAGCCAGCCAAGATGCTTTGGTGTGCGGTTCGGTAATTCAGTGTGTGTGTTTATTGAAATTTAAAAAAAAAAATCACCTCTTCCCATTTTTGTGATAAAATCACAGCGATAAGCTTTTTTGTGCTTGAATTCTAAATGGTGCAAATGATGCACTGTTTTAAGAAAGAAATCACAACTGCATTGTTTGTAGGAATCATAATGTTCACCAAGAAAGAAAAACAAAATTCATAAATTTCCAATTAAAATCAACTGCATCTCTGTACAGAGAGTGTTTGAGTGAGTGTTTGTGTCTGCTTTGAGCATAAACTCTCGATGCCATTCAACATTTCTATATCCGTTCCATCACAAAATGTTCCGAACGAACAACGGAAACAAAAGTATATAAATATCGTTTAATTCAAATAAATTTTCTTTTCGAGAGATCGAATTTCCAAACTGAGACAAAAGCAAATTAAAAATGACTTATTCCAAACGTGTTGTGTCCGTTTTTTTTTTCTTCTTCCCTTTTTCATTAAAAAGTAGTAAAACATGAAGTTGCAAAGATCTCAAGCGTTTTTGCCCCTTGAAAAATGCTGGGGCCTAAAATGAATAAATACAATATAATTCAATTCAACTTTTTTGTTTTCCTTTTCTTTTCTTTGTTTGTTATTCTTTGTTATCGTGAGCTATTCGCTTCTACCTTTCCTATATGCCTTCCTATAAAATTTCTTCTTTTCTTTTTCTTTTCGTTTTTATTTTCGTTCGTGGTTCGCTCAAAATAATAATTAAAAAATTTAAAAAAATAACAGCTTTCTATATATCTTGGATGAAGGAGAAAGAAAAACAAGAAGAATGAAATGAATAAATTTGTCGCACGCATATCTTTCCGTGTGGGAGACAAAGAAAAATTGCGATGAGTTTGTGTTGTGTTCAAATTCGATTTTAAGTTTAAATTTTGAACGGAAGAGCTATTTTGCAACACATACAAACACGAAATGAAAAAAAAAAAATTATTTTATCAGTTAACAATTATTTTACCCGTGATATTGACTCTCATTTCATTCATAATATGAATTGGGCGGCCACTTAAGTGGCCACGCTTCATTTTCTATTTGGTGTGCTCGAGTAGTTGCAATTATATTGAGTACGCAATGCATTTCATTTTGGTTTCATTTTTTTTTTCATCTATTTATTATCTCTAGAGTGTGTGTTTGTGTGTAAAACTGTTTCGCATAGTAATTTTTTTTTCATCGGTAGCTCTATAAAATGTTATAATGCGTATTTGCTTTCGAAAATTTTCAATGGTTGCTTGCGCTTTTGTTTTTTTTTCCTTTTTCTTTTTCTTCTTCATAAAAACATCCTTTCATTTTCTTGTCTCTTCAAATGTTGTCCGTCATTTTCATCAATTATGTTTTTGTTTTTAAAATTTTGACCATTTGTGTCATCGTCAATGTGATGGTCACTGGTTTTGACGCAATTCTACAATACATTACAAAATGAACAGAAAAAAATGGTTGATTTTGTTCAGCAATAGATCTAAACTAGATAAACATAATTCTAATAGACTAACGTAGTTTTTGTTGTTTGTTATTATTCAATATATTTCTTATAAATACTCGCGATCGGACGCGATTTAAGATTTTCTCTCTTTTGCTGCTCGTCACATTGGTTTTTTTTTTGTCAGCGACCATTTGTCGCATCCCGTTTTGCCGGCTCATTCGATAGAGTTTACAGGGGGAGTGGTTTGGAATATTTTGCTCGTTGGTTCAACTCGAACCAAAGTTGCTTGGTTTCAGTGCGTTGATGTTCGATATGTTGTGCATTACGGTCATTCTAAACCAATGTGGTGTTACCTATTTTCATTGTTGCCCTTTCTATTTCTCACTTGGAAGAACTGATGGCACATTTTTGGTGTAATTTTACAATATTTTTCCCGTTTTATTCTGCATTTTTATGGTCAGATTAAGTCTTGATAAGGTGTGAGTTGGTGTATGGTGTTCATCTATTTACTATTGACAGTATTACTGTATGTATGTGTGTGATTGGATATTTGGAAGTTTGTGATCGCCGCTTTTCTGTAGAAAAAAAAAATCCCTGCTTGAAGCGCCTATGCATCGCGTTGCGGCTATGGCAAAATTATTTTGTATTTACATTGCCAGCATTTGTACGATCCGGTTGCATTGGCGATGCTATTTGCGCTCCACTCAACTGCTGCAGATCCGATACGTACCTGGATGTTAAGTGAAAATCAAATTTAAAACCTGGTTTTTGAATGGATTCATATCCAATTCGAACAGAATATCATCTCATTTTCCAATGTACCTTAAGTCACACACTTGGCCAGTGGCCGCATCATAAACGGTACCCGTTTCCGATGTGGCATTGATTGTTGATCCCATATCGCCCGCTGCAACACTATTTATCGTTGCGATGCTATTCGCTGTTGTTCGATTATCACGATGCACTCGATTGTGGTGTCTGAAATGGAACAATTTTTTTTTGTTCATTAAAATGTTGGTTTTAGCACAACCAGAAGTGCCTTTGCATACATGATGTTGTACAATTGTATACTTGAGTATATTTAACAACTTGTTAATAACAACCTCAAAATAAAACGTTGGACACATTAATTTTCAATTCAAATAACACCGAAAAAAACAACAACCGTCAAACCTTTTTTCCAAAACTTTCATTTTCCAATTAAATGGCATTAAAATCTACATTACCTAATCAAATAGCTATCCCGTATGAATGTTCGTCCGCAAATGTTACATTCGTAATTTTGACCCGCTGAATGTGTGCGAATGTGAACGGCGAACTGAGCTTTGCTCGTGAATGTCATGGAACAACGATCACAGCTTAAAGGTTTTTCAGACACATGCGACCATCTGTAAATGCGAAATGTGTTTGCGTTAGAATGATGGAATTGAAAGTAAATTGACATTTTTTGTAGTCAATATTTTGTATGATATTCAAAATAAGAAGAAAAAAAAGAGGCAATTTTCATGACGAAAAGTTGTCAACAAACGAAAACTTATTTTTTTTATGAAAGAAAAAAAAAACTTTTCAATTTACCAGAAATAATTCTGAAGATACCAAAAAATTGATCATAAAATTAATAAAAGGAAATTTATCATAAAATTGATCAAAGACTCACCTGTGAGCAGTCACATAGCTCTTAACGGCAAATGTTTTATTACAAATATCGCAGGCGTACGGTCTCTCACCTAAAGTAGTTTGATGCGAAGTGGTTGGGTTTGGTGTGAAATAGAATGGAAAATTGATCAATGTTTATGTGAAAAATTGATTGAAAGGAGGAGATGAAGGGCGGTGTGCATGCATTTGGAAAAACAAATTCGAATGATTTAGTAAAAAAAAAAACAGGATTTAGAGGCACGCGGCGTGTGTATTAAAGTTGTAGCGGCTGATTCTAACCATATGAGAATCTCAAATGAAAATCATGTTAAAAATAGTGAACGAAGTGTCATATGTGGAAGTAGAACTAAAGTCCGCGACATGGTTTCAAATATCAAGAACCCATTTGGAGGAGAGTTTTTTTCTCTTCCTTTTATTCGTTTTCAAATCAAAATAATAACGACGATATTGATTCTAATATGTTTAGAACGTTTGTGGCCTTTTGCGGTAGCAAATTTGCATGTGATAAGATTAATTGCATTTGCGACCCGTATCCATGAGCCGCTTGTCTTTTTTTCAATTTTTTTCTGTAATATTAGAAGAGAGAGAGAGGGAGGTACACCTGCCTGTATGAATTCGTTTGTGAATGTTCAATGACGATTTCTGCGTAAAACGTTTATTGCACATCTCGCATTGGAAGGGCCTTTCGCCAGTATGGATTCGCATATGGATGTCTAAATACGGTTTTCGACAAAATGCGGCCGGACATTGCACACATTGGAACGGCCTTCCTTGCACTGCATGCCGTTTTTGGTTCGGTTTTATTTGTTTTGTGTTTTTTTTTTTGGGGGATGTGACGGCGTTCCAACGGTTTGAGAAATATTGTGTTCGGAGTTTTTTCAAGTATTTGAAAATGTTTGAGCAAAGTACAGACAGGCCCACGGAGAGTATGTGTGTGTGTGTGTGAGAGAGAGAGAAGAGAGAAAGAAATGGAGAAAGAGAGAAAAAAGAGCAAAAACACAGAAAAAAAATCATAATTAGTTGTTTTTTTGTGGTTGAATGTCTTTCTAAAGTGAAATTTGTTTCGTTAAAACAATTTGAATTAAGTGAAAAAAAAATTATATCTGTTATATGTAAGTGAATGGTGGTGGTATGCGTTGGAACGAAATTTTCTTGCTTCGATAATCGTTTTTTTTTCTCTTTAATATTTGAATCAATTTTCCGGTTTTGCTTTGTCTTTTTTTTTGTTTCTTCATTTTCAATCAATTTCAATGGAAATTTCGATCCAATGCAAGTGTGTGATTTCAAATGGTTAAGATAATGGAGGCTGAAATGAATTGATGCGAATGACTACACTTTTGTGGGTGGGAAGGGGATAATCGAAAAACTCGTCTCTAGACACTGTTTTTCTGCATGTTTTTCCACCTCCTTGAAAAATGCAATCTCACACCAATTCAAGTTTGTTTTCAATAATTTATTTTTTATTCGTTTGGTTGATTAATTTGTTTTTCGATTTTTGGAAGTGATAATTTTGGAAGAGCAGATGATTTACTGAATTTTATTCAGAAAATGAGTGCTAATTATGTGGACATTGGAAAATTTGGACATTTTCTTAGTTTTCCAATGAATATGTCGAAATTAGCACGAAAAAAAAAAATGTAGACAAAAAATGGCGAATTCATATAAATGACACGATGAAAGCAAGACCTAAACTTATAACAACTGATTCAATAATTGTGACAGAAAATACTTTGAGCAAAAAAGAAACAAATAAAGCCGCGAGCAAGTGTAACACAACTCAGCGGAAGAGTAACACTTTTGAGCGGAAAAGCCATTTTTTGCATTTTTAGTGGAAAGAAATGAAGACACCTTGTCTTTGGAATTTTTGAAGTTCTTTTGATGATCTACACAATCCCGAAAACACCTAATCGTTATCTATTTTCAGTAGTGAGAAAAAAGCAACAAAAAAACAGGATTTACGCTCAATGCTGAGTTGTTTCACTTTTGCTCCAAGAGCAACTCAAATGATCCAAGAGCAACTCAAATTAATCACAATAAAATGGTTTTGGACAATAATTGCTGTTATCGTCACAACGAATGTGCCAATATGAGATATGAATAACTTGAAAAAAGAAATAAAAACATAATTCCAAACAGAGAAAGATAAATAATCATCATTAAATCCAATCAAAAAATTTTGCGTGGGCTGAGTTCGCTCTTGGTTTTGTTTGGGAAATAAAATTTCCAATGTCCAATTATACAGACAGATCTTAAACTGTGAGGCAATCGAACGAATTTCGCGAAAAATATTGCCGGTTTCAATAATTATTGAAGCTTATAAGCTATCACCTACTTATAAGAAGGGCGTTGATATACCGAATAAAAGAAAAAAATGAACATTTTCAAGGAAGGATATTTTCTTCTATTTCCAGTAAATCATCTACTTTACGAATCATTGATTGCGTTGGGCATTTGAAATGCGTCAGAAAGCAAAACAAAAAAAAGTGAGAGAAAAAAATTGGCAATTACGTCAAAACTGAAGTAAACAAAGATCGCATTGAAAACAAGTCGCAATTTCGAAGAAAAAAAAAAGCTGAACCAAATTAACGAAAAATATTTCTTTTACTTTCTCGAACAATTTATTAGCGAAAAAAAGAATTCAGATTGTTCTAGACTGATGGTTTTAATTTCATTCGACTGTTGTTGTTTTGTTTTCGGAAAGTAAAGAGAGAAAAAAAAAACTGTAAAAATTGTGTGTTGTTGGTGTTTTGTTTTGTTAGTATTGGTTTGTTTGTTTGTTTGGCTACAATACCCGCTGTATGGCTGAGTATATGCAAATTAAGGGCACATTTTTGTGAAAACGTCTTCAGGCAGGTGGTACACTGGAACGGTCTATGGCCTGTTGATTTGAATACACATAGATATTTAGACATGATTGTTGTTGTTGTTTGCTGTTTTCATTCACAATAAATTTTTGGTTTTTGAAAAAAAAAATTTAATTGTATAATTTGTATTTTCTTTTCTTGATTCCGAATTTCTTTTGTCAAATGTTCCAAAAGTATGTGTGAATGTGTGTGTGTATGTATGTGTCAGCTTACAGCTATGATTTTCTTTATATTAGTTTAATAAATAAGTGTGAAAGAGAGAAAAAAATATTAAATAAGGATTTTGGAGAAACCAGTCTCTTTTTTTTCTCGGAAGGCTTGAATTATTATTTTCCACATTTGTTTTTTCTTTCTTTCTTGAATAAGTACGGATTTCTCATTGTCGCAAAGTGGTGTGAACATTTCACAGATGAAGAGAGAAGAGAGTGAGAGAGCGTTGAAGCCATTTTTGAGAAACCAGCCATTCATGCCACGAAAAACAAAGAACTTTACAGGCAATAAGAAATGAATAGGTAAGAAATGTGAAACAAATAACCAATTGAAACTGATTTACATTTCAAATAAATCATTTCATTCAAAGATATGGAATTGAATTGAAGCAATACGACGGCCATCGGTTTATTGAGACAATAGAAACTTCTTTTTTTTTTGAATAGAAGTGTTGAATTTATGTTTAAACTTGTAAATATATTTCAAACATATGCATGTTCACGTGATGCATCATGTTTGAAAACATGAATGAGTTAAGAAAAAACCAAAGAATCAATTCGAATTGTTGAGTTAAAAATCGAATCATTGACCATTGTCAATAGGCAATTCATTTCAAATTAAAATTGAATCTAGATTTAAAGCGGGCAAATTGAATGTAGTCCAAAGGTCGTCTTGAAGTGCCGAAGATCCTTGTGTATTGCCTTAGTATAATTATATAAATTAATACCTCTGTGAGTTGCAAATGATTTAAATGCCATTCAACATATTGAATACAGTCAAAATTCACAGTCAGTGAAGGAAAAAAGCAAGGAAAAATGAATCCGGTGGAAAAAGAGAATCCTGCAAACCATTTATTTATGTGACCAAACACCAACCGTAACCGCAACCACAAAGCCGATGACCGTTTCAAGTTTCTTTTGTAAACTCTGTTGTCTGTGTGATTCATGGACAATGAATCATGGTGAATTACTCGTTTTAAATTCCATTTTTCCACATTATTTGGACCAAAATGAAATATTGAACAGTTTGATTTTGAATGAATTTGCACTGAAATCGACGTCTCCCGTGAATTCCCAAAAATTGGTGTATTTTGTGTGTATTGGAAAACAATTGAAAGGATAGAAGTAGGCAAAACGAAATACATATTAGAATCATATCGATGAAAAGAGACCAACTAAGTCATTGATTGGTTAATAAACTGAAGCAAAATCAAATGAGAAAAGAAATGACCAATAAATGTGACCAATAAAAAATATGATTATAATCTATGTCTGTCTTACGGAAATCACGTGGATTTGGTCGTTTGAACAAAAACAAAATTTCGATTTGAAAAACTAAAAACTAAACGAAAGTGAAAAAATAGATGTGTGTAAAAAAACCGAACAAAATTCTACCAAAAAGAAAAGATACGGTGAAGTCAATTTGTTTGGATCGATTGTGCATTGCAAGCGGCGCACAATATAATGTTTCATGTTGCTATTGTTGTCGATGTCAATTTTCATACGTGATTTTTTTGTTTGTACTAATATCATTATTGTTCGAAAGCTACAGAAGCAGCAAGGCAATAAAGATATAGTGAAGAGAGGTAGAGAGAGAGAGAGAGATAATAACGCTAGATGTGGTGGGAACGAAAGGGTTGGAGAGAGTATGAGTGTGTATATATAGAGTGGAGGGTATGAAGGGAGGGCAAATGGTAAAGGAGTCAATGGAATAATGTAATGAGCATTGCGTGACTGACCTGTGTGAATTCGTTTGTGAATATTCAGCGTTGATCTCTGCGAGAATCGCTTTGAACAAATCTCACATTCGAATGGCCGTTCGCCAGTGTGTGTGCGCTGATGGATATCGAGATACGGCTTACGACAAAATGCGGCCGGACACAATTCACATCGAAACGGTCGATTTCCAACTGCTCTCATCGAATTTCGTGTTTATTTTTCGTTTTGTTTTTCGAGTATGTGTTTATGGATTGTGGCGTGGCGGTGGTGAATGCAGAAAAAAGGTTGACCGGCAAGCGTATGAATGGAGTTATTTATTTCATTTGTTTTGATTCGATTTAAATACCAAAGCGATAGTAATTTAGCATGTTTGTCGCGCGCATGCATCGATTGAATCAGTGTGTGTATATATGTGTGTGTATGTGTGTGGTGATTAAATGCATATTATTTATTTTTTTGGTTTTGATTTTAAATTGTTGATTAAATTGATGATTTACGAATGATCCGATTACGTGAAATGGTCCGATGTCACCCGAAAAGAGCATTGACGGTCAGCAAAATGATCAAACACACCCGAAAAAAAAACAAAAGAAGAAGAACAACAGTTTTAGTAAATCAGAAATTGAATGTAAATCTATTGGGTTTTTGATTGTCTATCTGCTGATTTTAATTAAGCTATTTGAGCGCTATCACTTTTGTGAGCTTTTTTCTTAGTTCTTCTAGCCTAGTTTATCCTGGATATGAATGAGCTTGATTCCGATTTTGTTTTGATTTATCGTCAGAAATGATTTTTCGATCTAAAATCCATTGAGCTGAAAAGCGACTGAAGCGAAGAAAAATTTGAAACGACTCAAGTGTTTCCAAATTGAAATTCTTAAATTTCCAAATTGAAAGCTTCTCAGTGCACAATTAAGGTAAAGAATTTTAATTCAAATCCGATTTGTTTCCCTCTTTTGGCTTTTGCTCTGAATCAAAAATCTTCCTTTTTCCCTATTATTTTATTCTTTCTTTTGATATTAAATTATTTCGCCTTTTCTTTTCCACCTAATTCATTCATCAAAATGTAAAACGATTCATCTAATCATGAGTTAGTTCCAAAAAAAAAACTGCTTACAATCTAAAGCACAATGGAAGAAAATGCATAATCTCAACAGAAAAAAAGTTATATAAAAAAATGCTTTTGTTTGGTAAATAGTTTGTTTACAAGACTGACCGGTATGTATGGTTTTGTGGATGTTTAGCGACGATTTCTGTGTGAAACGTTTTAAACAAACTTCGCATTCGAAAGGTCGCTCACCGGTATGCGTTCGCTAGAGTGTCGGTTAAAAATAGATATAGAGAAAATTAGGAAAAACGGCAAAAAAATGAACACCGAAACGTACATGCAGTCAGAAGTACGTATGTGACTTGTATAAAATAAAAATGACAAAACGAAAAAAAAAAGGTTTGATATTGAGAGAAAAATGGTTTTTTTTCGGAACCGGACGTACCATGTGTATATCGAGGTAAGGTTTGCGCGCAAACGCAGCTGGGCACTGTTCGCATTGAAAAGGCCGTTCCTGAACTGTTCCACGTCCAATACCACACAAAACAATAATTCATTGTAAATTTCACTTGGTTCAAAGTAATTGTTTTTTTTTTTAATTTGATTAAAAAATGAAAGAAAAAAACTTATCGACTAATCAATTTTGGGGGAGAGTAGAATGTAACAAGTCAAATGGCATTCGAACAGAAGCAGACAGTACGTATGAGCATATATGATGGGAAAAGCTTTGCAAAGCATTCAAGTTGCGTCGTTGTTGAATTGACGATGTGTTCAATGAACTGCACTCGATGCATTGAACGCATGAGGGCAGTGTGTTGCATGCATTTCAAGTCAATCGAACAAGCACTCGAAACACACCGAATAAGCAATCAAAAGCTATTCAATTTTTAGTTAGTAAATGATAACATCACAAGTAAATGAATGGCAAATAGCAAGCAAATGAATATGTGTGCGTTTGTGTCGTTGTTTGAAACAAGAAATAAGTTTGAGCATCGCTAGATAATAAGACCAAACGATTCGATATACAACAATGATTTATTAGTAACATTGACAACCGACAGCGTACAACTTGATTCAATAACTTCAAATGGCATTCATTTTATACACATATATCAAACATTCATGCACAAATTTAACATTCAAATGCGCTATTGATGAACGAAATGATTTTCGATTTACTGACGACAGTTATGGAAACGCTAATTCATAAAATCGTACTAACTACATGTTGCAATGAATCGTAACTACTCGGCAAGTTGCTTCCATCAATTTTCTAACTGCACTTTACCTCTTAACTAACAAATAGTTGGACATTTCAATGAGCTTTTACTTGAAAAACCTCTTTTTGGAGGGGCTTTTTCTGAAGTGTCATTCAATTTTACCAATTTTCCTCTGTCCTTTGATCTAATATGTTCAACGTGCAAAGATGAGTTCAAAAGATCTTCAAAACTTCATTTCTTTTTGTTTTAAAAGCGTTTTTTTTTTTTCATTAAAATTCCTTTCAGTTTGGTCCTCTACTTTTTAGAGTAATAATGATATTGTTTTTCACCGATCTTCCACAACAATGTTCACTGTTCAGTTCATGTGTTTTTTTTTTTTTGAATGAGCTATTGAGTTTCGAAGTGTCTTTTCATTTGCTCAATAATGGTTTTGAAGTTAAAATGCCAAAGGAAAGCTCCCAACTTGAATACAACAAAATCATAAATGTTTTTGATCAGTTGTTAAAACTAGCACTAAAAATGCATGCAAAATCATTTTGAATTCAATGAAAGTATTTTAGCTTCAAAATTCTGTAATCAGTTCAGTTTTCTTTTGGGACCGGGTTTAATTTCAAAGAAAAAAATCTTGGTGAACAATACGAGTAACACGATATCTTAAACTAGAGTTGAATAGTAGCCCATGAAAAAAGTACAGCCATGTATGCGCCGTGTTGATGGTGTATATCAGGTGTGAGCCAAGATTTGCGCCCAATTCACACCACACATCAAACATCATACACCACTGAAATGTTTAAGGCTCGGCGCAAATTGGTGTGAGCTGTCGTTCCAACGTCCATTCATATTGGATGAAACGATTATGACGGCTCACACCAATTTGCGCCGAGCCTTATATGTTTTCAGTTATGTATGGTGTATGGTATGGATTGAGCGTAAATCTCGGCTTACACCTGGTGTACACCATGTCAACATTACGCATATACGGCTGTACATCTGATGTACTTTTTTTCATGGGAGAGTCTAAACTAGATCTCTTGAGTGAGATGCATCAAAATACCCGACTCAGGTTAGGCTGAGATATATCAAAATTTGTGGAGAACGCGATTGAACTGCCTGATACCTTTGAAGCCAATATACTTAATCAACTTCTAATTGTAACAAAGAGCATGAAGCAATGATGCCAATTACATCTAATCAATGAGCACAAAATGCGTATGAATGACATTCAAACAGAATTACATGTAGTGTGCAAAAATAAAGGCGAAAACTAATGAAAAAACCATCTTCTCACTAATCATGTCGCTAGCATATAAATACGATATGTACAACAAAAAAAAAACGAATTTGATTTGTGAATGAACTTGTATCATTCCAACGATATAAAGAAACGAAAAAAAAACATAGGTGATAGAGACACCGTAAATAAAATTCCAAAGTGAGTACAGGGAAAATGCATTAAAAACGGTCAACTAACCAGTGTGAATTCGCTTGTGGATATTGAGCGTTGATTTTTGTGTGAAACGTTTCAGACAAACTTCGCATTGAAACGGACGTTCTCCAGTGTGGATTCGCTGAAATATGCACGAAAAGACATAGAGAAAAAGAAAAGATGGAAAAAGAGAGAGAAAAAAAAACATTACGAACGGGAAATCATTAAATGCTGTAGGGGAGATCAACCCGTTAACGACCAAGCAAAAAACAAACACATGTCTTTTTTTCTGCAGAAAAGCCGTCCAATGGAATGCGGTGGAGATTTGTGTATGTGTCTGCGTGTAACATAATTCTTTGATCGCAAATGGGTTAACGGGAAATTCGGATCGAACGTACCATGTGTATGTCAAGATATGGTTTCCGGCAGAATGCAGCATTACACTGTGTGCACTGGAACGGTTTATGCATGCTCCAATAACCTGAAACACACAAAGAATTTTTATATCGAAAGTGATGGAAATAAAAAAAAAACGGACCAACGTTCAAATACACACATAGCTAAAAACAAATGACGAGCAAATAGAGTATAAGATATAAGCATGATGTGAGAACCAATTTGCAAAACACAATCAATTTTTTTTTTGTCTGATATACATATAGATATTTGTTTGTTTGTTTGATGATGATTTGGATGTTGTTGTTGTTGTTGTTCGTTCATGAAAAATACACCGAAATAAAAATAAAAAAGAAAAATTATACATGTGAACGAGATGAAATCAACACAAATGAATGAACAAATGCACGAATCAATGAGCGTTTTCAAAAGAACACACCGAATCAATAAATTATCCAGCCAAATCAAATGCATAACAAATTAAATGAGTGAAATATAATACAAAGAGATTCACGCAATTCAGCCGAGCGACAATTTTATCACACGACGCCGGCGCTCTCTTTTCACAATGATGAAGACGACGATTGAATTTGGCAACGAAAAAAAAAATTATTCTGATGATGATGATGGCAAATAAAGCAACCGATAGATTCAATCCCAGTTCAACTGTTTCACTTGAGGGTTTGATTTTTTTTTCTGTCTCTTCAAGTCAATTGAGAAAAAAAGCTATTTTTTCTTCCATGAATTCATCCTCCCAAAAGCTAAAGCTTTGAAAGTAATACAAATGTTTATTGCTTTTACTCAGCTTTTGGCATTCTTTTGATTTTCTTTCCTTTTTTTCCTTTTCATTCGTTTTTTTTTTTCATCAATTAATGATGAATTTATTGGTAGTTAATTTACATTCACATTGATAAAGCATAGAAAGTTCGATAATTCCAACCAAATGTACCCCCAATTGATAAATTGTAATTGGTACAAAAGTCGGTTTTTCTTCCTTTCTAATGAATGAATGAAGAAAATGGGTACATCAGATGCATAAGCGAAATGGAACAGTTGAATTGGGATATAACACCGAAAAAAAAGTTGTTTCCAAATGATGACCCTGAATAAACGTCTAAACATATGAACATGAGAAAATTAGTTAATTTGATCAATAGAACAAAACCAACCGAACAGCGCGGCGAAATGGTGAGCCATAATGAAAGATTGAAAAAATCCATGGACTGTTAACAAGAACGTTAACTTGAATGATAAACAGAAACATTTTCGAATCAGAAGTTTCCAAAGTTTAACTGTAAACAATGCTGTTTGCGACAAGTAGCTTGTCCTTCAAAAGTAGCTTAGCTACTTCGATCAATGTCTCTCTCGTTTTCGATTGATCAAATCATTTTAGTGAATTTCATGGCAATGTTAGAAAAAAATAAGCCGATGCAGTCGATAAAAAAGCGAGAATTTGAAAAAAAAAAACCCATAAAAATCCCATGTTAAATCAAAAACTGGTCACTAAAATAAATTGATATTGTGATGTGAAATGAAATTTACAGCGAATATCGTCTATAGCATTGCTTCGTATAAAATTGGATGATGGATACAGAAGGTGTACAAAACATGAGACGAAGACTGTGATCGGATGTCAACCGAAAAGTTATCGTCTCTTGACTAGACACAACAGCAAATTGAGTTATGGCTACCACAAATCAGATGATTTCGAGCACGAACTGTGATTAGACACATTGGATGCGAGAAAATGACAATGAAATGTGTAGAACGAAAAACGAATAATGAGCGTTTGCAGTGAATGAACACGAAATGAACGATTTGTTTGCGAAAAAAAAGTGGCGAAATGTAAAGAAACTCAAATAGAAAAACAATTTAAAATTAAAATGACAAATGTGTATGTGTATGTATAGGTGTGTGTGTGTGTGTGTGTGTGTGTGTGTGTGTTCAAGAAGACGATTAAAGCAAAAATGAAGAGAGAGAGAGAGAGGGAGAGAGAGAGAGAGTGAGATAAAAAGACAAATCTTTCTCTCAGTTTTTGTTTGAACAAAAAAATGAAATAGACGAAAATAAATAGAATCAAACACCGTAACGAACCCGTATGAATTCGTGTGTGCAATGTTAGAGCGCACTTCTGCGTAAATGTCTTCAGACACTGCCCGCACTGGAACGGTCGTTCGCCTATCAAAATCAAAATAACACAAAATTTGTTGATTTTTGGTTTGTTGTTCGACTTTTTGTTGCTAAGAATTTGGTTTTTCTAGTTTGTTATTGTTTTGTTCTGCTGTTGAACTTCTGCATTGCAAAATTTTATATTTGTATTTGATGTTAGAATTTGTTTTTTGTTTTTGGAATAAAGCGTTTATAATTGATGATTCGTGTTCTAAATCGTTTACTGACTCCAGATAATAATCATTTTTTTTTTACTCTTAATCTATGCAAACGAACATTAAAATGATAAATAGCGAAAATCGCAATCGCTTAACGTTGAAAATAAAATCAATCAATTCACAAGGAATTGCAAATTCGAACAAAAAAGATGAATCCAACTGAAAAAAATCGTGAAAATTGTTTTCGGAGAAAAAAAAGTTACGGAATTTTGTTTTGTTCGATACGAACTAAACAGAAATCGAAAAAATCAGCGTATAATAATGTTGAATTGACGTTAATAGAAGAAAAATTGAATGAAACTCAATTCAAAACGAAACTCAAGAAAAACAAGGTTGGTTCCTAAAATTCACGTAGATGTTTGTGTATGTTTGTCATTAGCGTAGCCGTGGTTTTTTTTTCCTCTTCCTAGTAACCAACTCTATCAAATTGCAAGACTTCCGATAGCTCTGCGCATCGTTGGATACAAGATGAGGGCAGATAATGGATGGTCTGCCCCCATTGGTTCAAATTTTGGTTAAAAATTGTTGACTGACCTGTGTGAATCCGTTTGTGAGTATTTAGCGATGATTTTTGACTAAATCGTTTCAGACAGAGATCACATTGGAAGGGTCTTTCCCCGGTGTGTGTTCGCATGTGAACTTCGAGATACGGTTTTCGGCAAAATGCAGCATCGCAAACCTGTTGCCGAAAATCGAGATCAGAGAAAGAAGAGAGAGAGAGAGAGAGAAATCGAATTACAATTTTCATTTGGATATGAATGCCCTCGCATTTGGAAAACCGAATCCACGCAATTTGCGTAGCGAGCGAATGAAACGGAGTAAAAAAGGATGATTTTTTTTTGTATTTTCCCGTTTGGTTGTACATACTCACCGTACAAGCAAATGGTTTCGTTCCCGAATGCAATTTCATGTGCACATAATAACTGCTGGCCGATGACAGCATTTTGCCGCACACTTTACACGCTTGTGGCTTGCTTCTTGTATGCGTGGCATTCGTTTGCGGCGTTATCGACATTTGAAGACCAGTATTTATTTCTTGTTTGGTTGCATCCGATGCCGAAGACATTGGAGTATCCGGTGGTTGCGACTATTCAAAAAAAAAAAAAAACAACAAAATCAAACGGATTGATATGATTAGTGCTGGTTTCAATGTGGACGAAAATCAATCTAGCGAAAAACGAACAAGCATTTCATTTGAGCGCATTTGAAACAACATTTCGAACCGGGTTTCCGAATCGAATCACATTTCAAAATTGCCATTTTCAAAGGTGAACACTCGCAGCTACGCCTCTAACAGAAAACACAAATGGTTTCTCCTACAACAACAATGAACTTTTTTTCGAAAAATAGTCGATTGTAAACGGTATCATTTTGGATAGGAATTACCTCTTCGTTTGTTTGCTCATTTTCGCCTGGAAGTCGATTCCTCCAATCCAGTGTGGGATTTTGCTGTAAATAATTGATTCAAGTTTATTCATTTCAGGCAATGTCTAAATAAAACCAATCGAAACAATTGGCAATGCAATTTTAATGCGAATGCTCGACACTTACGAGAAGCAATTGTGCGGGTATATCTTTCACATGTTGCAATGTTAAATTTGTGATAACCGTTTGCTGAGGCTGTTGTTGTTGTTGTTGTTGCTGCTGCTGCTGCTGCTGTTGTTGTTGCTGTTGAGGTTGCTGCTGTTCCGTGCGAGAAAGACGCTTTAAATATTAAATTGCAACAAGAAAACCATTTTAAAGTTAAAATCGTGTTTTATCAAAATCACATCCCGACGGATTTAAGAAGCAATGCCGAGAGTGGCGGTGGAAATGTTTGAAATTGGCCTTTACGTCAGATGAAAAACCAAGTAAATTCGATTAAATTGGCACACAATTATTCGATTTGTGAAGAAAAAAATGTTCTTCATGGATTTCAAACTTCGAAGTATTCTTCCTTCGATTTCGAGGTAAACGCAACAGATTGCTGAGAAATATTCGACGGTAACCTCAGAAGAACATATATTTCAGTCGAAAAAAAATTATTTTCATAACAATGTCAACAATTAGGCGGGATTTTAACACGTGACACAATCATGTTTGTATCAAATATGGGGAAAATGATTGTCACGAAGTGTCACATACGTTTAAAAACGTCTCGATTCGTGAAAAATATCTCGTCACACAAATATACGTAGAAATTAGTACAATAAAAAAATGTCTTACCTCCTGTTGCTGTTGCGGCTGCGATTGTTGTTGCTGCTGTTGCTGTTGCTGTTGAGCCTGCTGAGGTTGTTGTTGTTGCTGTTGTTGTTGTGGAGCCATAGGCTGAACCATCTGAGGTGGTGGTTGTGGCGGACATGTCGTTGTCGAATAGAATGCCATCGGTTCAGCTTTGATTTGTTGCTAAAAATTCGAATTGGAACATTAGATTTCATTGTTGTCTATTGTTTGTCAAAATTTCGTTGCGATTTTCGTTCACGATGAAATTATCATTTCGGATGGTTAGAAAAAAGTTCAAATGAAATTTGTCTCCAAAATGACGAAACAAATCTTCTTTAATTTGATTCCAAATTCCATTTTCATAAATTGCGGTAAAAATGAGGATGAAAAGAAATAGCAACACTCACCTCAAACATTGAGATCGTGGCCAGCAAATCGCTGGTTGGGGGGACGGGCACACCATGCCTGCCGACCCCCCAGTGCGCTGGAAAACTAATTTTGAAGCCGGGTATATGTCGATCGCCATAAAAATTCGATTGTTCGATGGAAATTGCGCATTTTCTTACATCAACACATTTGTATTCGTCACCATTCAGTTAGTTTTGCGTCGTTTGTTTATTTTTTCTGTTTGTTCAATAGAAAATCGATGTTAGCTTATAAAATGGATGATTTTTCTTTTGGCCAGATGTCTTTTCTATATGGATGTGATATTCATATCTGATTGTTAACTATGTTCCATAATTAAGTGTACTGTGTACTGGGAACTGTGAAGAGAAAGAGAAATACCATATTAATTGCTAAGTGGCGTGAAACATGAAGAGTAGATATGATTTGTTGTGTTTGACAGCCGGTGAAATTGCGTCGTCAAAAAATTCGAAGCTTTTAATCTTCCCCTGTCTCTTTCTCGCCACAAATTGTCAACCATATGATTAAAAGAAATGACGCATAAAATACACCACGAAATCCATTTAACGAAAGCTTTGAGACACATCAAAACGAACTAAGACATAAAAATGTATGTGTGTGTTTGTGTCTGCTTGATTGGATACTTCAATTAATAATAATCATAATAAATGCCCGATGCAAATGAACGTGTACATGGAAAGTGGCCGCCGGAGGCAGACGAGGTAGACATATACAACACGTAGTTCGATGGATGTGTAGCTGCAGCAGAAACGGTGGCACTAACGACGACAACATGGTCGTGTATGTGTATAATAATGTTCATATATTTATTGTTGCAATACCGGTAAGAGAGTCAGTCGCGTTCAGACACATCACTCAGACGACCTTGACAACCACACAAAACCAATAAGTACACATGCAAATAATACACATAGACGACGACAACGACGACAACGACGACAACGACGACAACGACGACGACAGCAGCAGCTGGCTTCCCATTCATAACACATAACACACCATAATAATATCAAACTTCAATGATTACAAGGAATTTTGCATCACACAATGCACAGTGGACACGCATCGTCACTTTCTTTTTGTTTCTTTTACAGCTTTCGGTTGTGCTCTGTGTCTTTTTCACATTAACTCACTCCTTCTTGTGAGAATATCCTTTCATTCGATCTTACTCACCTTTGCTCTCTGTCTATTTCTCTTTCTTTCACTCGCACATACTCTTTCTCTCACTTTTTTTCGACGCGTTTTGAAATTTGGCCTCAGAAATGAATCAATCGTCCAAAACTATCCGGCAATTGTTCTATTAACAGAATTTGAGTAAAAAAAAAAGTGTTATTCAATTTTGACAAACATTTCGATGTATGCATAACCTCACACAGAGTCTTTTTTCTTGTTGCCCTGCTTGGTTCCATGTCTATTTGAGAATCATCGGCGCGAAAAAGGCCGACAAACTTTTTATTCGATGATTTGAAATTAGAAAAACGGGCCGAAGAAGTAGAAGGAGAAGCAAAAAGCACTCGAACAGAATATTCGTTGAATCACAAGACACATCAATTGGCTGTCGCAACAACACATTTCGCAACATGCCCATTTCCACTGCTCATCCAAAAGAGAAAGTTTTCACAGGCTTCGTAAAAGTGCATAGTCTGCCTCGCTGTGTCTATACATAAAATCACATGAAATGTATGTATGTGTGTGTGTGTGTGTGTGTGTGTGTGTGCTGGCATGCACTAGGACTATTTTTAGATGGAACATGGTTCTCGACCAATGGATTTTCATCAATTTAAACTGTTTCACAAAGTGTGTTTTTTTTCTGTGATGGGCCGAGTGTCGGTAAATATTGGAAAATTTTGCGAAAATTTACGGTGAAACGATGAGAGATATTGTCATCATTGATTGCATAACCAAGCATATTGGATGTGCTTTGGAATAAATTTGCGTTCATTATCAGTTTGACTAGAAACACACAGTTTGGGACACAATTTTTGGAACACACAGATGGAGAGAGACACCGGTGACATTTCGTCGGAAGTGGTACTAAGAGTTCAAGCTCATCGATTTGCCGAAGTCGGCCTAAAGTCAATATTGAATCAATGGGATATTTTGTTGGTATTCAAATGAATAACCTTTTCGCGGAAAGTGGTCTTGTTTGCTTGGAATTTGCATCATTCACGCGAGTAATGCTATGCAATAAGTTTTGAGAGGATGAGGGAGAGAAGGAGAGCTCACATGAATCGACAGCCAAAATCATTTCTAGACACAGTGTTTTTTGCCCCTCATTAAAATCGATCGAATATGCAAAAATGCTCGAGACCAAACGAATCGAAATTCAATGAGACGTAATAGACATATAGACCAAAGAGAATAGCCGAACAGAAGAGACAAACCGACAAAAAGCCAAAATCATGTGCCATAATTATTGATTGTTGACAAACCCAAAAAGATAAAACAAACATAAAAGTGGACGAGACTCAAATCGTATAAATAGAAATGAGGCGTTTCAATGTGCTGCTTTTTTTTCGTTCGTTTTCTTCTTCTCTAGTTTTGGTTTGTGTCGAGAGAATGAGAGAAATCGTTAATGGTTTGATGTGGCGTCGAAATCTTTGTGCTTGGTCACGTCCATGGAAAATGCGGTCAGTTTTTGGGGGGTTGATTTTGGCCACATAATTCCAGGAAAGCCAAAGTTAATCTCTTCATTTATTACCACCACTTTATAGCTTGAGCTTTTCATATCGTCGACTCTCTTTGTCATCGCTTTTTTTTCGTTGACACACACACACACACACACACACACGGCCACTCTCGCAGTTTCTTCTTCGCATTGCCTCGATCTATTGAAATGTTGGGCTGAACCGAATTTTATTACTTTGCGTCTAGTTCAATTGGATCTACTTTTCTGGTGGTGCCGATAAATTTATTAGGCCAACCGGAATATTTTTTTTATTGAGCCGCACGCATACGCAGCGTGTCATAACTAAATAGCGAAAAGCGGCACCGTTTATCAAATTACATGAATCATATACGATACAAAATGATTTGAAATCGGTTGCTAAAGGCGAGACATGTTCGATAATTGTTCGTCGTATTTTAAGATATGTGATGCGATAAAATAATGCAATAATAATCATATTCTCGCTGCCGAAACACCAATCGACCGTGTTCATTGACCGAAATCGATAAATTTTTGGTGAAGAAGACAGAAATTATCCCAAAAACAAAGCACTAGAATTCAACTGTTGCCGCACAGTTATTATAGCTGCGGATATCTTAAATTTTTAGCACGGATTTGTTGTAATAGCGTCGTTTACTTTTTTGTTGTCAACTATTTGTGTGGATGCGGTGCGCAGAACTGGTGACAGCTTGAGGCGCAACTGTGATGTCAAGTGCAATGTACCTGTTTCATGCTTTGCGGCTACTAGATTCACCAGATTAGTGAATGAAACAAAAGCTAGAGATGAAAAGAAAAAAACTCCAATGCAAACAAAAAAAATTTGACAAATAGACAAAAATCCCAAACGATGCCCACTTGCTACTTGGTATTATACCGAAATGTTAAAGACATTTCATTTCGATGGATCCAATTTTCGAGAACTGTTAAATTGTTCTATTCGAAGGTGAACAAGTAGAAACGAATGATTTTGAACGCTATAGAAAATTAGATTTCAATAGAAGATTACATTGAATTTCGAAACAAAAACAAAATGATTCGCGGCCAATGTCAATGCTAGCATTTCAAATAATCCATGCTTGAAATGTGAGCATCATAAAAAGAAGAAGCTTTTTGAAGCAAACAATTTGTGAGCCATTTTGTGGTGGAAACATATTTTCGCAGAAAAAACCTTGTGAAAACAAAATGAAAGCATTTTTCGGTAAAAAATAATTTGTTCCAATGAAAATCGCTTTTGTGCGTTTTTCTAGAAAAGAATGAAAACAAACCAGGATAAAAAAAAAATTATCAAGCGATAATGATTTGAATTTGGATCAAGTAGATTTATAAATAACGTCATGATACCACAAAAAATGGTTCGATACAATATGGTAGAACAGGTGATAGAGACTATATTATAGATATGTAGATTATAATAAAATTACGTTTGTTTCTCCATCAATTCATGTCATACAAACACATAAATCGATTTAATTATTAACGCTCAGCTTGAAATTATTCATATGGTTCAGTTTCCATGCTGAAGCATTGATTTTTTGTACATTTTACTTTGCTAAGAAGAATTTCCGGCTTTATCAGCTGATGAGTGAATTCTACGATCGACAAAAAAAAAACCGTTCATTGGTTCTCATGGAAAATGAGTCGCGTCCTCGACTGGGATAGAGAGAAAAATGCGGAACTTTTATTATGTGGCCAATTGCTGTGTACCCGTACTGGTCTTAAATTTTAAATGAGCCGACGGAAAGTTTTCAAAATTGAAACTACTGCTGCGTGGTTGTCTACTGAGCGAATGGGAAAAATCCCGAGCAGTGAGTGAATGAATTTATACTCCAGTTCACACGTATCACATATTAATAAGGGCGCTGACGCAGTATTGTGTTGTAAAGACATGATGCGATGGCTCCTGTTCATCCACATTGCCAGAACCTAAGATACTACAAAAATTACTATACCCCTTCATGAACATGATTTTTTCATCGAATAAATAGCGTCTCGCTTTTTCTGTGTGTCTCTCATATATATAAACTCTTTTTTCGTTCGTTCGCGCGCGCGGTCTATCCATTGAAATGGACACAAAAATGGTTCGCTGTGTCCATGCAGGGTTCATGTTCATGTGCCGTGCGTATGAGTATTGAAAATGCGACGACGACGACAACGACGGAGTCTTGCCACACACAACACATGATTCGGTGTGCATATATACCAGTTTGCCGTCTCAACCGATACACACTGTGAGTCATTTACATTCGTTTATATGAAATCGATTTTTCTTTCTGCTGCTACTCTCACATTCTCTTTCACTTTGCCATCCTTTCTCTCTCTCTCTTCTTTTTTTTCTCCATCTCGCACACTTCGACCCCAAAATGCGACCGGCGTTTCGTTTGAAAAGCGGAACAAAAATAATTATTGAATTCAAAACGAAGTTGTTGTTTGAAACTATGCAATGAAAAGGGATTTTGAGTCTGGTTAAGTGTTCTTTTTTGGTGCGTGTCTCATAGTTTAACTAATGAGCTAATTTCTTTCGAATGAAAGAGAAACAAAAATATCGAAGCGAAAATATAATTAGTAATTATTTCGCACTGACTCTTTGAACTCGGTAAAAGAATTTCGATTGAAATGATGCGGAAGCTTTTGAAATGCATATATGCTTTCAATTTCATGATGGAAAAATTA